AGCCCACATATCAAGAAAGTCAAAAGTATGATTATTCATGCCCCGAAACATGAAAAAAGAAAAGAAGAAGAAGAAGGTTGAGTTGCATCTGCAACACAGTTTTGCAAAGACCATAAATTTTGGCAATGCGTGGACAAAGGCAATTTTCCCGATATATCACTCTTGAACAATATATTTCTCGATCAGGCACCGTTCAGATTATATTTCTCGATCTAACACCCTTTGTAGAAAGGCGCGCTCCTTGCAACGTGTTTTACGTTGATTTGGTGTCACGTGGGGTAGCGCGCCTTATGCTGACATAGTATACACGCGTGTAAAGGAGGTATAACACAGTGCAGGGGCCGCGCCTTACCTCAAAATCTGCCACGCGTCACAAAGGCGCGCCCCTTGTGGCGCGCCTTAGCTATAATTACCCACCTACCCCGACGTTTCACACCCCAATCCCTCCTTATAAATACCCCCATCCTCAATCACTTTCATCACATCAAATTCTCTCAACTTCTCTCAACTTCGCTTGGATGAAAATCATATATATCGACACTTTGCTGATATGGTAACATTTTAACGTTTTAATTTAATTAAAATTATTAGTAATAATTTATTGATTTATTTAATGCATGATTATTAGATTAAGAATTAATTTTTGTAATTATTTAATTTTAGGAGAAGGATCATGTATTAGATCTTTTTATTAGGAACCTTAAGTTAGTGATACATAGCCGTGTCTTGCCGTATTTAGTAGAGGCTGAATTCGGTTACATAGGTAGATATCAGTGTCACTATAAGATAGAACCATACCTTATTTCTGCCTTAGTAGAGCGATAGAGGCCGGAGACCCATACATTTCATCTTTCGTGCGGAGAGTGCACGATTAAACTTGAGGATGTTTCTATGCACCTGGGGCTTCCGGTGGATGGAGATGTGATATCGGGGATCACGCAGGGTTCCTGGACTGATTTGTGTCGGGATAATCTAGGACGTGTCCCGAAAAGTTTTAACAGTGGTCGGATACTGTTAAATTGGTTAGATGCCAATTTTCGGGAGTTGAGTGAGGACGCGTCAGATGATGAAGTTAAAATATATGAATGTGCACGCATACTACAACTAATAGGAGGGTTGTTGATGCCAGACAAATCGCGCAACCATGTTCACTGTATGTGGTTGCAACATCTTGTCGACTTTCGTCTGGCCGGATCACTCAATTGGGGCTCGGCAGTTTTGGCTTTCCTGTACAGGGTGATGTGTCGAGCCACTGACTACATGAGTAATGCTATCGGTGGATGCCTCCTGCTGCTGCAGTCTTGGGCATGGTATCGATTGCCCTTTTTATGTCCTGTTATGAAGAATCCATTTGTATTTCTGCTACTCTTGAGGTAATTATAAAACTGATTTCGTATATTAATCATTTTATACAGTGTATAATAATTTTTTTTCGTTGAATAGGTGGTCTACTGACAGGAAAAATCATCAGGAGCTACCTGATAATTTAGAAAAAATTAGGGTGTTAATCGATCAGAATGCTGACACACATGTATGAATTTTAATGTTCAAAAATCGATTTTAGATTATAGTTATATAATTAGATTATTATTTTGATAAAAATTATATATATTTGATTTAATTTGAATGTGTGTCATATTCTAATGATGATGTGAGGACGGTGATCCCACCTGAGTTGAGGGGCCCATCAGATGTTTGGATGGTGACCCCGCTTTCACCTGGTTTTATGACCCCGCCCCCGCCACCTTCATAGAGTTTTATGACCCCTCATGGAGGCTATTATGGGTCTATGTTTGCAGATCTGACTTGGGGTTCATATACTGGATATTTGGCGGGTTCAACCTCATCACTCATGGCCGCAACATAGACACCTCCTGTACAGTTTTCACACTCAGCGATGTCTGGGTTTTATGAGTTTTCTCAGTTTTCGCAGGCCGGTGGGATAGTCAGTCATACACCTCCAGGGTCCTTATTCTATGGAGGTGCTTCATCGTCATCAGCTCCTCATCAACAAAATTTAGTTGCTCAGGACAACGACGACGACAAGGACGAGGACGAGGATGATGATGATGATGGTGATGATGATGACATCGAGGAGTCACAACCAGTGATACGAATAAATCCTCCTCGAGACCGACAGCCACCGCCCTACGGAACATATTCGCGTCGCAGGCATCAATAGATTTTTTTTTATTATATTTGTATTTAGTACTTTTTATTGTAATTGTTTATTGGACTTTTTTATTGTAATTTTATTATTATTTATCATTTAATACTTACTTTAATTCGTTAATATGGTTTGATTTATTTTAATTTATTTTGTTAAATTTGTTGGACTTTTTGTTAATTTATTTTGCCTAATTTTATTTATTACCATTTAATATTAGTTATTGTAATTTGGTTATCATTTATCATTTAATACTTATTGTATCATTAATATAAGTTATTCGTTAATATAACATCACGTCCAATCTCGTATAATTGTATCGTTTTTTTAATCTTCATTAGCGGTTATCAAATAACATTAACTTGAAGTAAATGTAAATTAAAGTACAATTAGTATAATATTTTTTCAAATAATCATAATAAACAACAAGTATAATAAAAAAATTTATCACAAAATTACCTTATAACGAAAAATCGCACGAACTTCTGAATTAAATATGAGAAGATTATCGGATTGTTGTATTGATTTTTTTCTAATCGAGAGGATATGTAAGGAGTTACCGGGGGGAAAGGGTATTTATAGCCGGGAAAAGCTACAAGACGCAGTACCTACACCGCGCCTTACATAATTATATCAGATAAAGCTAAGACGCGACCTCTGTTCTGCGTCTAATATAATTGTTGTAAAGGTAAGACGTGACCTCTGCCCTACGCTATACTCTTAGGTGGTCTAAGGCGCGTTTCAGGGGTCGCGCTTTACACACGTATATACCATGTCAGTATAAGACGAGCTTCAGGGGGCGCCTTACCTCACGTGACATCAAATCAACATAAAGTACGCTGCAGGGGGCGCTCCTTTCTGCAAAAGGTGTTAGATCAAAAAATATAATCTGAACAATATCTAATCGAAAAATATATTATTAAACGGTGACATATCAGAAAAATCGCCGTGGACAATGGCTAGTTCCGTGAAGGAAGCAAAAAAAGAAGGAAATAAGTTTGTGCTTGGACATGACTGCGTCCTAACTCATTAATGTATTGCATATGGAGGATATTAATTAAAAAAGAAAAGGAAGCACAGCTAAAGTGAGAATGACATGGGAAATCATCCTAATGGTTCAATTGTGCTCCTCTGTGTGCGGTGCATATGCCCCCTACTGGTTTTAATGGACCGTCCTGACCCACTCCTTTGAATCTTTGGCAACACCATCAGTTTAACACTCCATAATTCCTATATTTTTATTCCTTTTATTTGATAATGAATTTTAATACGGTCGTTCATTTGTCTGATTCGCATGTTCAACCAAGCTTATGGGTTGCTGGGTGATTGGCTGCCATTTGCACGACTCTTGCCTACGCCTGACCCAAGTTTAACGCACGCTGTGATTTGATGAACTCTGTAATTGGACACTCAAAAGACAAAGACATGACAAGACAACACAGAACCAAAGACATGTGTCGTCGTCAAGGCTTCAAATGGTGCACAAACTCATCCCAACCGATTGCTTCCAAGTAAAATTAAACACAGCTCAGTATGCCGGACATTAAACCCGTATTTCAATAAAGAAAAGGCACCCGATTAGGGATGGACACAGAGCAAATAAGGACAGAGGTCTCTTAAAAAGTTTTAAATTACTATATACTTTTGATTTTTTTTATTTAACGTTATATTTTTTATTTGTAATTTATTTTTATTTTTTTAAAATTTTATAAATTCGATTCTTCTTATAATTTTATATGCTCACCTTCTTAATATAAAATTGTTTACCTTCTTAATATAAAATTATTCACCTATCCATAGGCCTAATTTTTTTTCTTTCAAAAATTCATTTAATATTTTTCATTATTTTTTCTTTTTTTACTATCTTAATCTTTACTACGTCAATTTAATTATATATTATTCTTTTAAATGTTATGAAATGATTATAAGGTAGTATTTGTTTAATATAACATACACTCTATAGACACCATTATCTAAACTCGACACCTATAAAGAGAAAAAAATACTATTTTTTATATAAAAAAAATTAATTATTTATTTAGAAATTTGATTGTAGCTTATATAAAGCACATCTAATTGCAATAACTAATTGAACTTGGTGGGTAAGACTCATTATTGTCTCTAGAGGTCACGAATTTAAGTATTGACATGATTAATAACGTTCATTGTTAATTAATTAAGAGAATATTTAAACATATATTATCTTATATTTACCATAAATTTATCCTAAAAACCATCTAATCATTTTTTTTCACCCTATAATTTCAGCCAAAGAATTAGACCCTAGGAATTCATGGGGCATGGAAAGTTGAGTATAACTTTGTTGGTTTGTTCATGACCGTGCAAATTAAAGCTTTAATTTGTACATGAAAGGACTTTGAATGGATGTCCCATCATAAACCAATAGAAGCACTTACAGAATCTGAGATAAGGTTTGCTTTCTCAGCAGCCATAGGGTATATTAGACATATGCGAGGTTCCAATTATTTTAAAAATTACTATATTTTATTGTATATTTATTGTTTCTTAAGGTAAATGGTCTTAAATTTATTTTGTATTTAATGTACTTTTTAAATTGAAAAGTAAATTATTATAGTGTTTTGGTTAATAGAAATTGCTGTTGACTATTTGTTATTAATATAATAATTTACATTGTTGATATGATAAATTACTATATTGATGTGATAATTTGTACGTAAATAATAATATAACAAAACAGACTTAATTGATGTGGTAGTTTACTCAATAAATGGATACTCACCCACCATCTCACGAGGGAAAAAAGGGCAAGCTTTTACCATTAAAATTTGGCTTTAAAAAGGGACTAAATCAAGAACCTTCACCGGTAAGAGATCTAACTTTTCCAGCATGGATATAGAGAAAGTGTTTCATATGAATGGAGGAGCAGGCAAAACTAGCTATGCCCAGAACTCTTCTCTCCAGGTTTGGCCTCCCCTTCCATTTTCCTCACTATTTTCTTTCGTGTTGAAAGGATTTAAATAGCAGTCTGTCATCGTAATAATAATATTGGTCACTATACAACGACAACGATACCATCTAAATTGTAATACTCATAATAAATATAATAATATTCGTAATAATTACAAGCAACTGCAACTGAAATTTAAATCCGTGTGTCTTGACTGGTTTTGCTTTATTTTCTGTACCAGAAAAAAGCTTCGAATATGGTGAAACACATAACCGTGGAAGCGATTCAACAGCTTTACAACGAAGTGACTCCAAAGAGTCTGGGAATAGCAGATTTGGGCTGCTCCTCAGGATCCAACTCTTTGTCACTCATCAAAGACGTCGTTGAAGCTGTGGAAGGAGGTGATAGCCACAAAATGTTTCACCCCTTGCCGGAGTTTCGAGTTTTCCTTAATGATCTTCCGACCAATGACTTCAATTCGGTGTTTAAGTCACTGCCTGATTTCTATAGGGACCTTAAGAAAGACAGAAATGAAAGGTGTCCGGATATTTTCATAGCAGGTTATCCTGGTTCGTTTTATGGAAGACTGTTCCCCAATAATTGCTTGCACTTCATCTACTCTTCTTACAGCTTGCACTGGCTCTCCAAGGTCTGGTTCATTTTAGCATAATATCAAAACTCACCTTAATGTTAATGTTTAGTCCATTTTTTTTATAAGTGTTTTGATATGTGTCAGATTTATTCCATTTTAGCTCATTTAGACGAAAATTATATGTATCACGTTATCACTTATTTACGCTAACGATAAGTGTTAATAGTTAATCAATTAAGGATTTTCATCCAATCATATGGGATATTTTATTCTAAAATAAAACATTAGGAGAAAAAGTACTTAAAACATAACAAATCTATTTTATCAAATATTAAAGATAATTTTTTTTACATTATACTTTCTTTTATAGAATTATATGAAAGTAACATGATATGAAATTTAAATATTATCAATATTAGCCCTGATTGATGTGACTTAAATTGCATTTTTCCTAGTAATCATTTATTTGCATGTTATGCAGGTACCTCCAGGTCTTTACGATGAGCATGGCAAGTCTATCAACAAAGGAAACGTTTATATATCAGACTCGAGCCCGGCAAGTGTGTCCCGAGCATATTGGAATCAATTCCAGGATGATTTCTCATTGTTCCTGAAATCACGATCGGAAGAGCTTGTCACGAACGGGAGAATGGTGCTCATTACATTGGGAAGAATAGACCACGAGCATGTCGATCGAGGCAACTCTTTCTTTTGGGAAATTCTCTCAAGATGTCTGGCCATATCAGTTTCACAGGTCCCGGATTTCCAACATCTCGATCATGTTAATCTCGTTTTGATTATATTTCCGCTAACAAATTCTTAATGAATATGTATATTCCTTGTTGACTTGTTCTGTTTTTTTTTTGGTAGGGAGAAATTGAGAAGGAGAAGGTCGATTGTTACGATGTACACTTTTATGCAGCGTCGAGAAATGAAATAGAAGACGAAGTGAGAAGAGAGGGTTCGTTCGAATTGGAAAGAGTCGAGATGTTCGAGATCGAGAAACAAGTCAAAGGTGGAGAGAGCAACGGCACTGCGGTGGCGATGACCGTGAGGGCAATCCAAGAATCCATGTTGTACAACCATTTTGGAGATGGGATAAACTTGGATACCTTGTTTAACAATTATGCGAAAATAGTGGACCAAGAAATGGCCAAACAAGAAATTAACCCTGTCACTTTTCTTCTAGTTCTTAAGAAATTATAAAATATTATTGAAGAACCAGCACTTTTGTTGTACTTCTTAAGTTGAAATGCAGGCTAGGGCCCTTGCAATAATATCATTGCTGAAAGAGTGAGCTTTGGCCAATATAAGTGATTGGTTTAATACATGTTTGGGGGATTGTCTCAGGAAATGCATGTTAATATACGGTTAATATACGGCATTACCGGATATATTAAAATATATTTAACAAATTCGGTTTAACGCTACCGGAAATGTTGACTAATAATAATGTAGTAGGTCTAAGTCATGAAGAAATATTAAAAAATTGTGCAACCGGCAAACTTAACTTGTCGGTTCGTGTCGATCCAAATTAAAAATGTGTCTATCCAAAACGATATAACAGGTAAAACTATGACAAAACCGGTATTGAAATGATAAAACCGGTAAAGCGCTACCGGATACATTTAAAGTGTCGGTACTTTAATATAAGGATCGACACTTCGTGAATTTAAAAGAGAAGCAGTTTTAAATCCTATAAAGTGTCGATACTTTTAAAAAATGTATCGATCCAAAACGATATACTAGGTAAAAATATGATAAAACCGGTATCAAAATGATAAAACCGGTAAAACGTTACCGGATATATTGAAAGTGTCGATACTTTATATAAGGATCGACACTTTGTGATTTTAAAAGAGAAGCAGTTTTAGCGTCTATAATGTGTCGATACTTTAAAAAAATATATCGATCCACAACGATATAACAGGTAAAAATATGATAAAACCGGTAAAACGATACCGGATATATTGAAAGTGTCGATACTTTCGTAAGTACGTGTAATAAATTATCGACACTTTCAAAGAAATAGGTAATTATCCTTTCGAAAGTATCGACACCTGACATAAAAGTATCGACACTTTTGTATTTGTATCGATTAAATATAAATAACATATCCGATGAAAATATAAAGGTCATATCTAAATATCCTCTGAAAATCGATAGAACGGACGAGTTTTTGAAATCGAAGCGTAATTGTTGCTGCATTTCAGAAGGCGTTTCTAAAGCGATGTTTGTTTGTTTGTTGATGCAGTCGAATCAAAAAGTATGTTGTCGAAACCCTAGTTTTTTATTATTACAGTAATCGCGAATAGGGTTTTTATGTGTTGTTTGGGGTTTTGGAGTAAAGAAGCATTTAGGACCGATTGCAGGTAGAAAGTGATATTGAAGGTAAAATATAAATGTCGATACTTTTATTAAATATTATAGGTAGAAAATGATATTATAGGTTGTATAAATGTGCCGACACATTTTGTAGTGGATATTCAAATTCTTTTGAAGAAAATCGTTTTACCACAAGAGTAGTTATCTATATTTGTATATTGAATAAAGTGTATGTAACAAAATAATTTGATTTGCGTAAACTGATATATGAAGAAAAAATGGAGTCAATGGGTTGGAAAATTGTTGGTGGCGTAGATGACTTTGAAATTGAGGCCGAGACTCGAAAGCAACCAAAGGGTGGATATATGTACTTCTAGTAAGTATTAATGTCTTTTTGTTATTATTGTTGAAATGGTAATTGGATTAAAGTATCGATAAACTTTAAATTGATTACAAATTTTAAATGTTGACAGTATGGCCGAATGCAAAAGGATGAAGGAATATGGCACACAGAGCGGTTCGGTATGTAAAATGAAATTGACATTGAGTAGTATTTAGTGTTAATGTATTGATTAAGAAACGTTTATGTTTAATATTATGTGACAAAAGATGTGAGGTCCAAATGGAATTCAATGAGTGATGCTGAAAAGGAACCTTACATCACACAGTCAAGGAATGATAATAAAGAATACAAAGAACGGAGGAAAGCACATGAAAATAAGGTATTCATTAAACTTGTAAATACGTTGATACAAAATATATAAGAACTATAACATTATATATTGTTAAAAAATATAGGAAGTGTCGACAAGATGCAACATTAAAAGGGTGAATTCATTAATTAAACACCTTAAGGAGAATGGTCAGTTGAATGTGCTGGGAGAAATAGGTTTTGGATCGTTGGTAGGAGTAAGGGATCGACCTATTCGGAGGGAATTGTGTCGATCATTGATGGCGCAATTTGATGTCAGACAATGTATTGCTAAGTATGGTGATTTTTAATTTCCTCTCGGGATCCCATGTGCTGCAGCCGTATTGGGGGTAGAAAATGAAGGCAAAAGTGTTGTAGAAGTCTGTAAGAGTAAGGTCTGGAAAGCACTTGCCTCCAAATATGGTTTGAAACAGAAGGTGACATATGCTGAAATTGAAGAGGAAATAAAAAGTGGATCTTACGTTGGGGATGAGCTGAAGGCCAGAGTTCTATTATACCTTATCGGTATCTTTCTTTGTCCAACGGGTCATACGTCAACGAACAAGGAACATATGAAGCTCATTTGTGATGAAGGCTTGAAGGGTGAATTCAATTGGGCTGAATATATCCATTCGAGATTGATTGAATCAATAATCACCTTTAAAACGGGCAGCCAAAGATACCTCAAAGGGTGTATAGCAATCTTAGAGGTAAATGAGTTGAAGAACTTTTTTTTTGTATTTTTATATAAAAATATAAATTTTATTATAAATGCAGGTTGCACTGTTCGATTTTTGGTCGGGTTGTGAGGCAGTGCCGGCTTATGAAAGAACCGGAGTGGCACGCATCTGTGCATGGGGGAATGAAGAGGTGGTTAGAGTGATGGTGAAGTTGAAGTTGGATAGAGCGAAGAAGCAAGAAAGGGTAATAAATGTAATTAAATAATATTAAGAATATAATCAATGTCTTAATATTGTAATTTAATTTTGAAGGTTATTGGGAAGGATGTAGAGGAGGTAGTGGAGGCAGAGGAGAAGAAATGAGAGATGGTTGTATTGGGGGATGACGGTGAGTGGGACGACGGTGAGGGAAAACATAGTAACTTCGACATTTTGATGTGTGAATTGGCGGATATCAAAAAATTCCAATTTGATATCATGCAAAGACAATCAAGAGTCGAAGAGAAACTTGATAGAGTCGAAGAGAAACTTGAGAGAGACGAAGATACACTTGAGAGGCATAAGGGGGTAGTGGAAGGAAAAATAGATGGAGTGGTGAAAGAAGTAGAGGTGTTGAGGGGTGAAGTGGTGAAAGAAGTTGGGGTGTTAAGGGGTGATATTAAGATGGTGACGGGTGAAAAATTTGAGGGAGTGGTGAAGGAGGTTGTGGAATTGAGGAGTGAACTTACGGGGATGAAGGGGGTGGTTAATAAATACTTGGATGAAGGAGATCAATTGAAGGGTGAAATAAAAGAGGTGAAGAGCTATGTAGAAAAAAAATACGATGAACTGAAAAAATATGAAGAAGAAAAGAGGGAGGAGGAAGAAGAAGAGATGGAAGAAATGAGGAGGAAGGAAGTCGATGTCATTTATACACCGGAGAGTGTTATAGCAGCAGATTTGGATTCGGAATGTCCTGCACCCCGGAAGAAGAAGCAGAAGGCAAGTTGAATAAAAGAAAACTTAATTTGATTTTTATTATGTTGTTGTGACAAAAATTTGTATGCAAAATTGTAGGTTGAAAAAGCGGATATTCCAAGCGAAATTGATGACATCGAAGCTGTAATTTGTGATTATTTATGGAATAGTGAGTTAGAATCGGAGTAAGTGAAATATATTGCTTTGTGAGTTATATTTAAATATTTCATGACAACATATTAATCCTAATGATTCATACAGATATTCTGTAATCTCAATGGGAAATCAATTCGCTAGTGTATACGACGTTGCAACGTTGAAGCCTACGGAATGGGTTGGCGGTGTGGTAAGTAGAAAGTAGAAAATGTTAAAACTTATTGAATATGTTCTGATTGTGTTATTAATTTTGTTAGGTTATTGATTTGCTCGCCTGGACAGTATGCTACGATTCTCAGAAGTCACTCCGGAGGATTGACTACCTTCCATACCACTTAGCGGTGAGTTAAATTAATAAATGGAGATAAGTAGTGTTATAGACGGTAAATTAATAATGTTTGTTGCGTAATTGCAGCAGCAGGCGTTGGATGCCAACAACAAAGAAAGTGTTGAGAGTATTGCTACCTTCTGGGGTCCCATATTGAATAATTATGTGAAATTCACCGACTGTGAGAAGGTAAGACACCATATCAATTGCAAATGATGTTTTCGGATATAGAATGTTGAATTTTGTCAAATTGGGTGTGAAATTTGTTGCAGATCATGATCACAATAAACTACCATAATTCACATTGGTATCTGTTGGTGTTGGATATGGTAGATCTTGTTGCAACAATATATGATAGTATGTTTACAACTGAAGCAGCTAAACAGAGAGTGAAGGATGCTAAGAGATTGGTATGTATGTATGTATGAAAGGACATTATGTAAATTATAATGCATAATTTTTTTGGATCATAACTTCTTCTATTTTAATGCAGATTAAAATATTAGATTTTTATAATAAGAAACACATTTGGGTTGAATCCTGTGGATCTCTAGGAAAGTATCCCTTGAAAAATTTCAAATTTGTGGAGCATAAGAAGAATAAGCAATTGAATGGGTATGAGATGTTATCACAAATAGAAAGCTTAATTTATGCAGTATTCATCATAATTGACATGTGTGGTTTTCAAATTTTGTAACAGACATGATTGCGGCATGTATGTGATGATATGGATGGAATCGATCGGTTCTACAGGGGCAACTGGTGATTTTGTAAGTGGAAAGAAAAATTTGTTTGTGGTAAAATTGTTAAAAGTCGTAGATTGAATGTTGTAGTTTACAATACTTAACGTTCTGACAATTTGAATATAGGTTGTTGGAGAGTGGGATCGATCGCGAATATTAAACGATCTCGTAAGCCACAATCAAAATCAACGAAGACAGGAGATAACAAAAGCTGCCATGATACATAAGAATAACAAAAGGATGCAATGATGTAAATGTAGGGTTAATTTTGTATAAGATTTATAATTTTGTATACGATTTATAATTTTGTATGTGAATATAATTATGAATGAGATGAGAAAAGTTAGCAGTATGTTGTTGTACATATTTCTTATACACATTAAGGGTCATGTTGATACTTACGATATATAG